CAAGTGGAAAACCAGAGCCCGCATCACTGCTTGCAACCAGAGCACAGAGAACTTGTCCACTTCTGAGTGAAGGATGAAAACTCTCCTGCCGCCACTGACTCAGACTATAGCTTTGTGATATTCTGGTTTTACAAAGCCAGAAGGAAGCCCAGCCAGGCCCCGGAACTACCAACTCAAGCAAATCATTCACTACATTAATGATGTGTCTGTTAATAATCTGGATGCAACTACAGTATAATCTTCAAATCAGTAGTGGAAAAGAAGTTACAGATCTTTGCTTGCAGGACTAAAATGGGAAAAAATTTTAAGAGAAGGCTGGAAATAAAAGTATTTATGAAGCTGTGTAAAAGCTAAATATATATCTCAGTTCAAATAAACTTGAAAAATGTAATTTTCCTAATACTGAGGAAAGCCTGGTTGTTACAAATTAATATTTGCCAGGAGAATTTGATAGATTGGTAGAGACTAGCATGGTATATATTAAAAGCTTAAAAGGTAAGCAAAGAAATCCCATCCATAAAGAAAAGCAAAAATTCCCAAAACACAAAAAGAAAGCTCACTCTCCATTTATTTGTATACAAGTATTTGTTAAGATCATGCTGAGTTCTTGACACTATTACAGATCCTGAAGATCTAGCAGTTGTTTTGATTAAGATCTAAAACCTCCCCCAAGGCTTCTCCTTTGAAGATGAGGCCTCGCCATGGGGGGCAGATGGCAGCAGGCCTGACCTGGAAGGCTCCTCCTTTCTGTCTCTGGGCTCCTGGGTTTCCGGGGCTGCTAGGTTCTTCCATGCTCTTCTAGTATGCACTTTCTGCCTGGAGCCAGCCAACTGTGGATTAAACTCACTGAAAATGTGAGGCAAATAAACCTCTAATGCTTTAAATTGTGTGCGTCAGATTTTTGTATCAGCTATGGGAAAGTGACTAATACAGCAATAATCAGAAATGAATAAATGTACATTCAGGTAAGGTTAATATTCTAGTTTATCTTTTAATGGCATAAATAAAATAACACGTAGAAATATCGGAAATGAAAACAATAATGGTTAGAATAAACTTTCTGACAGAAAGGATAAATTCTGGAGTTGACATGGAGACAGAGTTACTCATTTGGAAGATGTTACTGAGGAGATTGCCTAGTAGGTAGCATTAATGAGGCATTAAAGGAGCGGGGCTGGGATAGTAGAAAGAGGCAAAGGCAAAGACACAGACAGACAAGACAGACAGACAGAGAGAGAGAGAGAGAGAGAGAGAGAGAGAGAGAGAGAGAGAGAGACATGAAAACATGTTAATATATGTAGAAAAAAAGAAATGATGTTAGTGTTTTTTTTCTTTTTGTTTTTGTTTTTGTATTTTATTTGTGGAACCAGGGATTGAACTCAGGCCCTTGTGCTTGCCAGGGAAGTGCTTATTCTACTGAGCTATCTCCCTGGCCAAGAAATGATGTTCGAAAAATAAAACTGGGAGAAGTAATAGCTGAAATTACTTTGGGGTTGATTACACAAGCTTCTTTGTTGAATGTACAATCTGAGAACCTGTTAGGACAAATAAAATGAATCTATAGTTATACACTTTGTGGTTAACTGTTATGACAAAGGTTTAAAAAAATTATCAGAGGAAAAAAAATGGAAACTAACTTTAAATTCCATTAGATTGAAATCAAATTTCAAGGGCAATATTGAGGGGAAAGATCTAAAATCTAGGTTTTAGATTTCATGTCCTAGTATACTACTGACAGACTCTAATGAAAAAAAGTGAATTGAATAATTTACCTTTTAAAAAAATAAGAATATTCCTGAGGAAGTAGGCCTAAAAAAGAAGGTGTGGCATTTAAAAAACAAAACGGTGAAAAAAGAAGCAGCAGAAATTATTAAAAGTCAGGGGCCAGGGAGATGGCTCAGTAGGATAAGCGCTTGACTGGCAAACGCAAGGATCTGAGTTCAATCCCCGGTTCTGAAAAAAAAAAAAAAAAAAAAAAAGTCATTAAGTTTAAATCCTTCTATCAAAAGTTATACCTAATTTCTGTGTAAAAAGAAAAGGTAAGAAATAAGAACAAGCAAATAGAAGAAAAGGAAGAAAAGTTGGCTAACAATATCCAAACTGAAGGTAAAAGACCAAATCTAAGACCATCAAGGTAAGCAGAGATGCAGAAGGGTGACCACACCTACTCTCTCGTGTCTCCCCTTGTGTGCATGGTTCACTTGGTGAGGGTGATGCTGTGTAGCCTGGAGGGGAGAAACACCAACCTCCAGGTGACCATTCTGGGAGGGAGGAAAGTGACCACAGTGGAGCAAGAATGGGAAGGGGAAGAGCGAGCAACCTGGGGACAGGAAGCCAGCTCTCTGTAACTGGTGCACGAAGCCTGGTGTACAGCTCAGTAGTGGAGCACTGTCCTCAGCCCTGACAGGGAAACGCACTAAGGTAAATCGCTAAGGGCTGTTATTGCACGGCGTAAGCAGGGGATTTTACGGTGCTATCTTACATAAAAGACCTAGAGAAATTTCAGAAGCTCATCAGTTTTGGAACCTAGATTAAATGTTAGCAAGTTTTCTGTCAGGGAAGCAAGTTAAGTGGTCATTGCCCTCCAGTGGCTTCCACACTCTCTAATATAAACCCCAGACTCCTCCTTGTCAGGGCTCCCGAGTCCCATGCTGTTTTCCCCTGCCTGGCACTCAAGGCTGCCCATTCAGTGCCTCACTCAGCCCCACTGCACGTTGTTGTTCCTCACATGGTCTGCGCTTCCATTTCATTTTATGGGCAACACAATTTTTCTTGGATTGTTGCTATCATTTTCTAATACTATGGAAAGTCTAGCTTTGGTGAGATTATTGGTGTTTTTTTATCATTTTGCAGTACAAAGATGGAAGCCAGGGATGCAACCACTAAATGTTATCTTCAATCCTTTTTATTTTTTTGTTTGAGACAGTCTCACTAGGTTGCCCAGACTGGCCTCAAACTTATAATTCTCCTGCCTTAGCTTTTTGAATCACTAAGAATACAGGCATGAAACATCATACATAGATAGAAATATTTTAGGAGCACAAGTTCAAACCCAGCCCAGGGAACTTAGCAATTAGCATGACCTTATCTCTACATAAAAAAATTTCAAAACCCTGGGATGCCACCCAGTGAGAAGGCTCTGGATTCAGTCCCCAGTACCACACAATGATGATGATGATGTCTCAGACTCCTTTGATTTTTCTCTTGATCTAGTGATGATAGTGAATGCTAATTTGCCTAGCCAAAAGGAACTGTCTTTTCGTGGAACATGGTGGCCATTCCTGGATCATGCCACTGTCACTCAGTCATTGTGAGCTGGGTACAGCCTGGCATTACTAGTGTCCCCATGCTCCTGGCCATGCATGTGCCCTGAGACAACAAGAGCTTTGGATTCAGGCTGAGGGAACAACAGACGGTACCTAGAAACAAGTCTCTTAGGATCCAGAGTGAATGCTAATGGGTAATACCCAAACTTACATGCCAATTTTTCTGCAATTTTTTTGAAAAGGATGTTTTATTTGTATTTTAAGGAAGAAAGAAATAATTTTCAGTAATTGGCCAATAGTTTGAATTTTTTGTTGTAGTTGTTTATTTGAGACATGGTCTCCCTTTGTAATGCAGGTTGGCTTTGAACTCGTGGCATAATCCTTCCACCTCAGCTTCCCCAGTACTGAGATTACAGATGTGCACCTCCACATCCAGTTGTATTTTGAATCCTTTTTTTTTTGGCAGAACTGGGGATTGAACTCAGGTCCTTGCACTTGCCAGGGAAGCACTTATTCCACTGAGCCATCTCCCCGGCCCTGTATTTTGAATTCTTGAAAGGTGCTCTTAAACATCAATCTAGTAAACTTTTCTTTAAAGTACAATTCATCCTAATATAGACTTACTTTATTATATTGACATTAAATGTTTATATTGGAAATCGTTTTACTTCAGCAAAGGTTAATACAGTTAATGTTAATGTATTTAATGCCATTGAAGTATATACCTAAGAATATTCAAAATGGCACATTTTTCTATGTGCATTGTAAAACAATTTAAAAAATAGACAATAGCTTAAAACCTAAATGTATCCTGTCTTCACTGATCACTCCCTAAATTTTGTGCAGGATTCTGTCAGCAGCCAAACAAGGAAGGCTGTCATTCTCTGACTTATTGCAAGCCACTAGAATTCAACTTCATAGACATTACCTGTGCCGTCCTGGTGAGAACAGGGCCCAAGGCATCCTCCAAGTTAGGCTTTCAATCTGAACATAGCTCACTGAATGCAAAGTCAGCTTTGTAATTGGTTTCACATTAGAAGGTATTTTGGTATTAGTTTTACATACAATTATAATTGCACATCCTCATGATAAATGAAAATCAGGTAATATTTTCCAGTAGTTATATTACAGTTCTTCAGCTTTCATGCCAGTATCACAGTTATTAAAAAACCTTACTTATGTGCTGTGCCCTGTTCTAAACCTTCTCTTATGAATTAAATCTTTGACTATTCCTGGCAATCCTCTAAAACTGTTTCATTGCCATTTTATCTTTTTTTCTCATTAAAATGAATTTAAAAAAAAGAGAAATACAATTATATGGACAATAGTTGATATATCATCAATTTTGTCATCATATCTGTTGCTCAGATTAGCCGATATTGTTATGTAAGCTTGGACATATGGTTGGATGTAACCACTTGCTTTCAATAAATCTTAAATTAAAAAAATAAAAATAAAGTACAAGTTGATGCAACTCCCCAATTATGGATGAGAATACTGAGCAAAAGCAGTTCTGTGTTGAAAAGCCAAATACTATGCAGTGGTAGTGGTAGCTTTAATAAGTTTTGTTTCTGTTTTTGTTTTATTGAATGGGTACCTTTTGACTTTTGTGCATCCCCACTGATGGGTGTTCAGAGCTTTATTCACTTCTGTGAAAGAAAGTTAATGAATGTGTTTATTGTGCATTTTAAGTTTTGTCTACCAAGAAATGATTTTTTCTTCGTGTTTCTACAGGGCCTTCTACCTGGACAAATCAAACTCCTCACCAAACTCCACATCCAAGGCTGCCTATGTAGATAAGGTAAACAAAAAGGACTACATTCATCGATACTTTATTATTCACAGACCTAATTGTATTTAGTCACCAATCCTGTTACTCCTGTAACAATATGATAAAGCTGTTCATTAAAGGCACCCATAACAGTGATGCATCCCAGCTAGCAGGATTCCTGCTAAGCATGTTGAACTTTCTGTGTCTCACTTTTTCCTGCAGCTAATGAGGCCGCTCAATGCTTTGGATGAACTTTATCGCCTGGTGGCCTCATTCATCAGATCCAAACGCACGGCTGCCTGCGCCAACACAGCTTGCAGCGCCTCTGGGGTCGGCCTGCTGTCGGTTTCCTCTGAGCTGTGCGACAGGCTGGGCGCCTGCCACATCATCATGTGCAGCAGCGGCGTGCACCGGTACGTGAGCCCCCCAGCTTCCATCTCTTTATTTGTTCACTTCTTGTGTGGTGATCTTTGTCTACTTTGGGTGACATGAAATTAAAACGGGAAGCATCCAAAGGACTCAGATGTCTCGGGAATAAGGTTTGGGATGTTCTCTGGTTTTAGTTGTTATATTTTAGTGACTATTTAGTCATACAAGTGAGTGCACCCCTTCGTTTATCTCGTGGTGACCCAGCATCTTATTCATTTTGCATTTATGTGACCACAGTTTTATTTTGGGTGCAAAAATGTGTATCCTTGTTACTGGCTCTAGGAGTTCTCTTGGTAGCAGCTGAACCTAATGAGCCTAATAAATCTTGTCTCACACACCTTCAGTGGCTCGCACCCCTGTAAAGCAAGTGCAGTGACTTAGATGTTCTGGGTTTGGTGCTGCATCAAAACATTGATGGCTCAAGAGATCACTTATTCTGTCCTTCTGGAGAGCTCAACAGAAAGTCTTCCAGGTCCTGTTGAGGTTTTGTCCTAGACAACTGCATTCTTTATGAGGCAGCAAAGTTCCTATAGCTCATTCTATTAGCCAGTGTATACTAGAAAAACAGATAAAATACAAGATATACAAAAACACAAGAATTGACAAGATTGGCTGACAATGGCCATCCACAGAGTCAGATGGGGAAGAGCACAGAGGGTCTGGCTGCATCCTGGAGACCTGGGGATTCAGCCTGAGGCCTGGAGCTGACTGCAGTGTCCCAAGCAAGTCCTTGTCATGAGGCTGATAGACCTTCCATGGAAGGCTGAAGGGCTTGTGCCAGAAGCCGAGGAGACTATGCTGGAAGACAGGAGAGGATGTCTGATGTGGAGGCAAAGGCTGAAGCTCTTCTGAAGGAGAAGAAACTCATCCCTCCCCCTTCATTTCCTTTCTTCCCGCCAGGCTGCAAGCCGCGGTAGGGTGGGTCTTCCGCATCCTATAGTGTGGAGTTGCTGAGCCGATTCAGTTAAACTTCTTTTACTCAAGTTAACACTGCTATCCCACTCATAGAGCTACATCGGGACAGAGTGGAGCTCAGTCAAATCCCTCCTCACAGTTACCGCTCTTCTACCATCTTTCATTTTCATGATGAAGCAAAACCTTTTGGATTAAAACAATAGGGCAGATGTTTAGTTCTTATTTATTTATTTATTTACTTATTTTCAGTATTGGGGATTGAACTCAGGGCCTTCACACTAAACTTACATCCCTCAAATTGGTTTCCCTTTGTTACAGAGTCTTGCTAAGCTGCTGAGTTGCCCAGGTGAGGCTCTAACTTGCAGCCCTCCTGCCTCAGCTTCCCAGAGTGCTAGGACTGTAAATAATTACAGCCACACCTTGCTTTAAGTCATT